CTGTAATGATCATGTGATTTTTACCCAGGAGTGCAGGGATGTTGTTTGTCGACTGGTTAAGAACAAACTGGAACTGAGCATCTGCTTGATCCATCTTATCTCCTTCAAGGAGACAAAAGCAAGCTCTTCCCAGCAGATGGCTCTGTGGAAATGAGAAATATCATAAGGCTAAACATCCTAATAGTCATCAAAAACAGCAGGGATTTCTACAACATGACTACGAACACTGGAACCTTGATTTACCTGATCGTACATGATGATCTTGTCAGCCATGGTGTACAGAAGAGTGGACTGGTTGATGAGGTCCTTCTTTGCATCCTTGTTCTTCTCCTTTCGAGCCTGTTGGACATAATAAGCAGCGAGTGTGTCCAGACACGTCATCTGGTCCTTCTCGTGGTCTCTGTAATCCAGGTTTCCATCGATGCGTGCCGCCTCCAGCAGCTTGACAAAATCTTCTGTCTTGCCTTGTTTGTAGTACTCCAACTGAAAAAAAGCACAAGTCGTAAGACTTTTTGGTGCACCAGAAAACCCTAATAAACTCATCATACACACTTACAGCGAGTGCAATCCATATGTGGAGCTGTGTGTGCTCCTGTTTGAGGATACTGATGACCTCATCTCCTTCTGGAAGCTGATCGAAGTCAAGCTCAATAACCTGAGAAAGAAAAAAACATATATGTGACGTGAGGAAAATATAGGATCAAATTCCACCAGTGAATTTGGCTGAAATGGACAGTAGAGCTCAAATAGCTGCAATAAATAATACAATAATAATTAAACATTTATATAATAATATAATAAATATCAGTTCTCACAGATGTTTTTGGTACAAAAAAATTCCCCTGAGACATGTTACGCTGCATGACAAATTAATAATGACACAATGATTAACAATGCGATGATATGATAATATAAATATTATTATATTAAAATGCTCATATATATATATATATATATATTTAAATGCCTATTAATCACAATTTTGGAGAGAATTAAAACATTTCTTTACAAAAGAAGTGAAGATTGTAATGTAGATTGTAAATCTGGTATTTGTATTTGATTTAATTAGTATAATGTGCGTAATTATAGTCAAATGGAATCGAAAAAAATGTCAATGTCTGAACGATTAAAATTTTTAATTTGACCTCAAAACGCATTTGGAAACAGTATATAAACATAAAAACTTACGAACTACAGAAACTATGCAACTGTTTAATATGTACAATGTTGTTCAGTTGCACAAATACAAATGTTGTTGTTGTATTACTTGTATGTACTACTTATATATATATATATACATTGCTTAATATATAGATATACATAATTATTGCTTAATTTTAAATAAATAAAAATTAAAAAGCACATATATCATATAAACATAAACTTCAATAGGAAAGGCTTAAAACATGATAGGAGGATATTTATTGTCAGAACCATAAACTGAAGTATTTTACATCATTGCATAATGATTGTATAATTATGATTGAGTAGCCCAAGTCTCGCCGAAGTACTTCTGTCATTCGCCTTTATTAGTTAATGAATGTTATGTAAACTTATCAAAAGCGCGTAAACGATAGCATGTTAGCAGATGATAGCTATTCATAGATCTGTAATAAAAATACACTCAGCAGCACCACACAGTAATAAAACGAGTCCAAACCTCATCTGTGTCCCGCAGAGGGATTTCAATAGATCCCCGAGACATAGTTGCGACTCGATCCTAAAACCTAATATTATAGGTTTCGGTTTGTACTTGTTCGCATCCAACTGTGAACAGAGATGCAGCAGTAGCCTCAAACACACACACAACACTGAACCTGAACAACAAGATACACTACACTTCCGGGTTAGCGGTCAGACGCTTCAAAATAAAAGTCCTCAGAAACTCCCTATGGAAACTTTGGGCTTGCAGAGCCATGGCTTTAAATCAACAAACACGGAACATTTTAGTGACATTTCTATCTTTACAAGTTCTGTTTTTCTTTTTTTTTTTATAACCCTGCGATGTGACAAATGATTAAAAAATACAAACATAAGTCAAAGTAAAGGAAGTAAATGCTGTTCAAAATAGTTTTTTAAAGTTGAGTTGAGTATAGCATGTACACAGCACCACAAATCGATGATAAACAAATACAATGATGTGATAAGATTATCTTATTTTACATTTTAAATTATTATATAATATTATATAGATAAATCTATCTATAAATTACAGGAATGTCTGTGTGTCTGTCTGTCTGTCTGTCTGTCTGTTAATCGAATATCTCTCAAACTGTTAGTCCGATGGATTTCAAACTTGACAGGTGCCTTGCTATGGGGCACGAGTAAGTGCAGTGCCGAGTTCGACGTTGTTTGGATTAGAAATGCAAAAGATATCATTAAATATGTGTGTAAAAGAAGCCCACAATGAAGTTGTGGTTTAGAAATAAACATTCTGACATTAAAGAGGATTGTGGTTTAAAAATTGAGGTTTGGAAATAAACATTCTGATATTAAAGAGGCTTGTGGTTTAAAAATTGTGTTTAGAAATAAACATTCTGACATTAGAGAGGGTTGTAGTTAAAAAATTGAGGTTTGGAAATAAACATTCTGACATTAAAGAGGATTGTGGTTTAAAAATTGAGGTTTGGAAATAAACATTCTGATATTAAAGAGGCTTGTGGTTTAAAAATTGTGTTTAGAAATAAACATTCTGACATTAGAGAGGGTTGTAGTTAAAAAATTGAGGTTTAGAAATAAAAATTTTGTCAGCTAAACATGAACTCAGCTACACTGTTTACTTCTGAAGTAAAAAAAAAGTAGTGATTCTTTTCGAGAAATGTAGCGATTCTTTTCAAGGTTGTTATTATACATTTATTACAATGTAATTATATGTTTATTGCAATGTAATTATATTCTTTATAGTATTTTTACATATTTATTACAATGTAATTATACATTTATTTCCATGTTATTATACACTTATTACAATGTAATTATAGATTTATTACAATGTAATTATACATTAGTATTATTATAGTTCATCACAACGTAATTATACATTTGTTACATTATTATTATTATTTTCATACATTTGTCACATTATTATTTTGTTACATTACTCTTTTTGAAAAAAGTAGCGATTCTTTTTGTATATATATATATATAAAATAAATATTTTTAAAATATTTTTAAATAAAAAATAAAAAAATCTATAATAAATATACAATTAAAGTCCCCGTGAACCGGAAGTTGCAAACGATTTTTCTCCAGTGCTGTGACGTATTTCCAAGTGAAACGGAATATTGAACAGAGGGCAGGGTTTTACTCTAGCGCTCCTCCTCTCTATCTCTCGCTCATAGCAAACTAACGGTTTGAGGGGAGTGGTTACGCGTTTCCCCACCCAAACTGTGAAACCTACGTCATCAGAAGAAGAAACCGTTCCAGACCGGAAGTAACTTTTCAGATTTTGATTAAAGATTACTAAGGTAAAAAAATTTTTTAATATATATTCACTTGCACGGATTAATTGTTCACCACAAGACTAGTAATATGGGCTAAAAAGGTAAATAGGTTCAATTTTGATTTCACGGGGACTTTAAATTATAATGCATAATTATGTCTAAAATTATTATATGACATAAAATAGATAAATAATTCTAATGTATATATGAATAATGATATATTATATCATTATATGATTATAATTATATCTAAAATTGTAATATTGTAACGGTTACCAGCTGGAGTGCCCTATTGAGCCTCCAGAGGGCACTCCAGATAAGACTATGTTTCACACAAACTACAGTTCCCAGAACTCACTGCCCGGACTCATCATCACTGATCACATTCACCTGTACCTCATTCACTATTGCATTCACCTGTCTCATCTTGTTAGTCTGGCTATATATACCATGTTCATTCAGTCACTCACGGCGAAGTCTTGTTTAAGTGTTACACTGCAATTCTGAGCATTCTGTGGTTTTCTTGTCTCTTGGTTTTTGGATATCTTGCCCTGTTCCCTGGATTACTCTCTTGCCTCTGGTCCCTGCCTGTTTTGTTTGTTTCTCTGTGTATCTGTCTTGGACTGCCTATCTGTGTATGACCCTTGCCTGTACATTGGATTACGCCTCTGGATTGCCCTCAAATAAAGCTGCGTTTGGATCTTAACCCTCTCCTCAGAGCAGTTCGTGACAAATATTACTTGTAGCACTGCTTCTAACGATAATATACACATACACAGAAATATAATAATTGTTATATCTAAAATTACAATAATATTATATAGATAAACTAATAATGTTGTAGTTGTCGTTATTGTATTTAGAAATGATACTTTCTGACTGAGAGAAAGGTTGGATATTGAAGACCAGTGAGTGTGACAGTGATGAGAGCTGGCCTTGAATCATTTGATATGGAAAACTGCCTAATGTTAATTAAAATGGTCCATTACAACATTGTTCTGTCCTGCCAGAGGCGCACAGGCAGTGAAAGGAGGGTGTTTGGGGGGAGGTATAGCATGTCATCTGGTTTTGATGTGTGTCAGTGTGTGTCTATGATGAAAAGAGGCCAAGGCTCTCTAAAGATCAGCTGTTGCTTCCATAAGGACTGAGATTTACAAGCAACACGGGTGTTTCACACACATGGACTTTGCACAGATCAATAAATGTGTGTTCTTAAAGGATTACATTCAGGTATGTAAACTAAAAAGGTACATTTCCAGTGCATTATGCCATTAATGAGAATTCATCATTCTATTATTTCTGATGTCTCAGTTGTTGTCTTTATATTTCAGTAAACAATGAAATGGAAGAACAGATGAGCTATAGTTCTGGAAAATGTAAGTATGTTTCTTGGTATTGCGATGCAGATTTGTGTAACAGTATCAGAAGAGTTTCTTTTCTCTGGTTGTCAGAGGCGATGGCCTCCGAGAAGCCGAACGGACGACCGGGGTCTTCAGAAGAAGACGATGTGTCCCATCGCTCCTCTTTCAGGATCGTGTCCCAGAGTCATGCATGCAGCGTCCCCAGCCTTTCCATCGACTCGGGGACATATTCACTGGAGCGCTGCCACATGCTTGAGAACGGGGAAGGTGATCTGATGCTTCAGTCTTTAGTGTGCATGCAGCGATAAATACAGTCATCTCACCTGAGACTTCTCATTACTGTAGATTTGACATCAGAGAGTGCTCTATGTGATTGTGCCGAAACAAACGGCTTTTCAGAGGAAGAACTCCTGAACATCACTTTTGAAGCATGTGACACTACTGGCAAAGGTAAGACCTTCTCTTTCAACAGTGCAATATACACGCTTATTACACAACACTATACTGTTAAAAAGTTTGAGCTCGGTGTAACTTAAAAATAAACATTTTTATTTAGCAATGGCACATTCACTGTAAAAAATAACCGTGATTTTAACGGTAAAAGACTGTAAAAATGCTACAGTGCAAAACTGTTTTTGGTATTGGTAAACAGAAAGTTTCCGTAGGCTACTATACACGGTAAATAACTGTGATATAATTTTACAGTAAAATACTGTTAAATTTACAGTTTTTGAACGTGAAAAAGAACAACTCATTGTATAATTTACAGTGAAAAACCGTAAATTGACATTCCCACAATTCTCTGTGTGACACTTCACATTTTATGTATTTTTGTTGAAATAACTATGGTTCCTCATAGTTTTATTGTTTTTTTTCTAATCAGTTATAGGTTTTTATGTTACATTATTTTGTTAATGTTTATTGCATTTTTTTAATTTCATGTGTGTTACCACGATGGTGCTTAATGTTTGTGTGAATGACATTGTGCAGCTTCTTTACTTAAGTATTGCTTTATACAAGTGTTCACTTGTGATGAGCTGTGATTGCTCATGTAACTCATCACTGCTGTGATGATTGTTGGTTGTCAGTGTATTACAATGGTCTAAAACAGATATCAATACATCAATAAGTTGGTAAATCCACATTTTATCAGAAAATAAAACATGGTTTATTACTGTAAATTTTAAGTTAAGTCTGTAAAACCATTAACGTTCCTACCGTATTTTTAACGGTAAAGTTCTGGCAACCACAGCTGCCGGTTTTTTTTACCGTCAAATTTATGGTTTATTTTTTACAGTGTTGATCAACAGCAGTGTTGGGGGAAAACACTTTTAGCATACAATATACAATATAAAAAAACGGCAGCTGTGGTTGCCAGAACTTTACCGTCAAAAACAGTAATAAACCGTATTTCTTGATCTGATACAATGTTAATTACCAACCTCTTGAAGTATTGATATCTGTTTTGTACCATTGTAATACCCTGACAACCAACAATCATCACAGCAGTGATGAGAGTCACATGATCAACCAAAGCTCATCACAAGCAGCTCTTCCACAAGAAGGTTTATACTTATATAAAGAACATGCACCGCATCATTCACACAAACATTAAACACCATCTTGGTAAAAAAAAATATCAATAGACATTCATTTAACAACATTAAATGTAACATAAAACCCTAACGTGCATAACTGATTAGAAGAAAACCAAGAGGAAACATAGTAATTTCAACAAAAATACATTTTGGAATTATGGGAATGTCAATTTATGTTTTTTTCACAGTAAAATTATACAATGAGTTGTTCTCTTTCAATTTCAAAAACTGTAAATTTAACGGTATTTTACAGTAACATTACATTAAATGTACCATGAGATCTATCACAGTTATTTACCGTATATAGTACGGAAACTTTCTTTTGACCAATTTACAGTTTCACTATAGCATTTTTACAGTCTTACCGTTAAAATCACGATTATTTTTTTTACAGTGAAACTATCCTCAGACTGAAGAAGATGCAAATTCACAGCTGTACAGTAGAGGGCGCCGCTCAAGCAAACACTGAAAAAAAGATTTTTGCTGCTTGTTCAGATTGCTTAATTAAAATTTAATTTAACCAAACTTAATTTGATTGTGTTCAATCTGCTTAAATATATGTAAAAATGTAAGTTTACTTAATCCATTTGTGTTCGATTACATGAATGATTTGTGTTGCAAACTGGGCGGTGCTTGTAAGTTCCCAACAAGCTTTGCATATGTTGAAATATAAATGTAACTGTTAAAATTAAGTGTTATTTCATGTGTTTTTGAGAAAAAGAGAAAAGGTCTTCCACTTGATAGTGCATTGTATTTAATGTGTGCATTTCACACAAACGTAAATGTTCTAACAAATATCCCTGGGAAAAAAAAAAGTATCATGATTCACACAAAAATGTGAAGCAACTATTTCAACAATACTAATAAGAAATGTTTCTCGAGCAGCAAATCATCATAATAGAATGACTTCTGAAGGATCATGTGACTGAAGACTGGAGTAATGATGCTGAAAATACAGCTTTGGTCACAGGAATACATTCAATTTTAAAACAGATTATTTCACAAACAGATCTACCCACCTCTCTCTGTTTCCTACAGGAGAGGTCCATGCCTCCACCGTGGTCCAGTATCTCCAGGCCATGACTCCCAAAGCTCCGGTCAGGACAAGCTGACCGATTTACACCATATGCTGGACCCGGAGAGCCAGGACCAGCCCGTTAGCAGAGATATGTTCCACGCCACCATGAGAGAGTGGATCGCCCAGTGCGGCCGAGACGGGTGACAGATACGAGCAAACAGGGTTATGACTCTATATGTTGTGTCTATGTCTAACTTTAAGTGTACTAAACATTGAATTTCATGTACAGAACTCCTGAGGATAAAAACCAGGCAACAGGACCAGCCTTAAGAAAAGTATCTAGTAAGTGAATAACTACCATTTTAAATGTTTTATTTTTATGAATTCTTCTATATGCTCACCAGGGCTGTGTTTATTTTGAACAATAAAACATTAAGACAAAACATTTTTAAATATACATATATTTTAAAATCAAATTTATTCCTGTATTGCAAAGCTGTATTTTCAGCATCATTACTCCAGTCTTTAGTGTCACACAATCCTTCGTATTATTAATGTTTAAATATTTTTTTCAGTTTTTGCTTGAAAAGATAGTGTTGATAGAAAGAACAGTGTTTATTTAAAGGGATAGTTCACTTTGAAATTAATTTTTGATATGTTTTAGCTTACCTCAAGGGCATCCAAGATGTAGGTGTTTTTGATATGACATTTTTGATATTTTTAGGCCAAACCGTTGGAGTCATATAGTGGAGGTCTATGGTCACCACCTCAAAAAGCATGCAAAGAGAAGTCCAAATTATACGATTCAATGACTCGTGAATGTAAGTACACATTGATGGCCTAAGACACGAAACGAGCGGTTTGTGTGTGAAAACGAACAGTATTTATATCGTTTTGACCTCTTGTAACCACAGCCACGTCCAAGTGATCTGAGGGCGTGGGTTCTTTGTAACAAGAGGTAAACGATACAAATACTGTTAGTTTTCTCACACAATCCGCTCGTTTCGTGTCTTAGGCCATCAATGTGTACTCACATTTACGAGTCATTAAATCATGTTTAATTTGGACTTCTCTGTGTAATGCTCTTAGAGGTGGTGACCATAGACCTCCATTATATGACTGACAGACAAGAACGGTTTGACCTAAAAATATCAAAATTGAAAATACTGCTGAAACAAAGACACCTACATCTTGGATGCCCTTGAGGTAAGTTAAAACATATCAAAAATGCATTTCAAAGTGAACTATCCCTTAAAAAAAAAGAAATATTTTGTAACATTATAGACGTCTTTTGTGTTAATATGTAACATTTGTAACAGTGACATTTGAAACTCGTACTGTTCCACAGGGACGGACTATCATCTTCCTTTAAGCGAGGCCACGTTCACAGGCCGAGCCGGATGTCATTGGTTAGTTCAGTCACTTCATTGCATCTGTATGTTAATCGTACAAATTTTACGAGTTGGCTAATTGTATGAATTCGTCCGATTTTTGCTAATTTTCACATATTTTACGAGTTACCAAATTTTGAATTTGTACGAATGACCTACACCCGACCCTCCCCCTAAACCTATACATCATGTGGGTTTAGACAAATCAGACGAATTTGTACGAATTAGCCACCTTTAAATCCCTTAATTGTCCGTGAGATAGCGTTGTTTACCACATTTCGAAGCCGCAATCGTTTTGATTTCTGATTTCAGTGAGTCTGCAGATTTGTCAGGTTTAGTGTCTGAGCTCACACACACACAGCACAGACTGAGTGAGCAGAACATCAGCATGCTGAGGAGTGTGTCTCAGTGTGAGGACACCATCCTACAGCTCAGTCTCGAGGTATCAGAGCTACACACCAAACTGGCCAGGTACATCCACTCCAACATGCAGCACAAAGCACATACATATCATATATACTGTATATATATATAATAAAAAAGTTGACGTGTTCTTTTGTGTTGTTTAATGTCAGCAGTGCGCAGGTGTATGTGGCGAGAGCACGGTCTCTTGCAGAAGAGCTTGATGAAACCCAGTGTGCGCTGAGGGAGAGCCGGGACGAAGCCGCAAGAGCTCAGGCCAGCAACTGTGCATTAGTATGAATCATTGCTCATGAACTTCATAATAATGATTTGGTTTTATAAATTCTTACTCAATAATTTGACATTTGTCTTTTAGATAAAGGGAAGTGAACGCTTGAAAGCTCTAATCCAAATAACTGAAGAAAAGGTATTGACTTTGTCTTTGATAAAATAATATATTGTGAAACAGGGATGTTATATTTCTGGGGCACAGAGCCCTATCACAAGAGTGTTTCCATAGTGTTTTCCATTTATACATCAAATAAACACATAAATCCTCATCTCGCACTATTTCGGAAAATATCCCTTTACTATTTTTGCCATTTTTTCACCTATTTTTGCCATAAAAGAGGGGAAATCGTTCTTTGGTAAATCTTAATGGCATAAAAAGTTTTGGAGAAAAAAAAACGGAATAATAATGTAGGAAAAAAATTATGATAAAAAGTTGTAATGTCCAAAAGTAGTCACAATCAAGACATTAACAATGTGAAAATATGAGGTAAAAGGCGAAATTCACAAAGTCATAAGTATAACATATCAAGTCAAATTATGAAACTATGAGGCGAAAAAAATAATTAATTTTTTGTAATAATTTTGACTTTAATGTCAAATGTTAAGTTATAATTTCGACTAAGTCATATGTTCAACTTTTCATCTCTTAACTATATCTGTCATAATTTGGACTTAAAAATATGATCCAATAGTATGATTTTTTTATGACGAGGCGGAAAATTCACGCATGGTTCTGATATTTATTTAATCATACAATATCTTCCACAGAGTGAAAAATTAACCCTTGAGAAGAACCTTGCTGAAGATCGACTGAACAAATTTAGAAGAGAAAACTCAGAATTAAGGGTGAGAGCGAGAATCTTGAAGTGTGCAGTTACTCTACTGGCCACAGGGGGAGCTGTATTAACACTATCTGATCGATGTTTACAGGGGAAATTAGAGGAATCTCACATAGTATTGGCTGAGAAAAACAGGGACCTTACAAAGGTGATATTGAACTTGGTGATGATTGATTTTAGTCCTAGAAACAGAGTTCAGTACATTTTTGTGTTTCTTTATGGCATTTGTTGTTTATTTCACATAGAAAAACATCCTGCTGGAAAAGCTGAAGGACACTCACTATGAAAGTCACAAAATGATCGAGGTATTCCAAGGTTGAGTCCATTTTCAACGTGTGAAATAATGGTTTGGCTATTCAGTGATGACGTTTTGTTGTGTGCTAATGCATCTGAAGGGCCTGCAGTCAGAGTTGACGAGACTACACGAGCACTCACAGCAAGCACTCTTCAGGTAAACTCCACGGGTGAAGCTCTTCGGCAGTCTGTGTTTACATTTGCAGGAAAATGGTATTTGGTACTTGTGAAAAGCAGCAACAATGAACCATTGTTTATGCTCTAAATCGGATTTTCAAACTGGTGACCGGGGGCAGGAGGTCTCTGCAAAAGTATAGAGAAAAACATAAAAAGAGATAAATAAACAATAAGATTGAGTAAATAAATACCACAGCAAATACTTGGGAGCACTTCGACTCGGCGCAGTAATATTATCACGAGTCCGGAGAGGAATTTTCACGAGTGATGATATTACTCCGCCGAGTCGAATTGTTCCCAGGCACTTGCTGTGGTATTCCGCCATACCAATATATCCACTTTACACGCTTAGAAAAGCGCGACGTTTTATTTTGTGTCACCATTTTTGCCTCGAGTTACACTACTCGTACACTACTCGTGTAACTGTATTTAAATAGGGAAAACGTGGAGGTGTATGGTCGCTTCTCTGCTTGGATCCTAATGAATGAACTGGGCTATAGTTAAAGGAGTAGTTCAATTTTCAATAAACTTTTGCTGATAATTTACTCACCCCCATGTCATCTAAGATGTCCATGTCTTTCTTTCTTCAGTCGAAATGAAATTAAGGTTATTGATGAAAACATTCCAGCATTTTTCTCCATATAACGTTAATGCATTTCAGTGGGAACCAAACGGTTCAAGGTCCAAAAGACACTTTCAGTTCAAACTGCAAACTGTTCAAAGGGTTCCAGACGATGAATAAGGGTCTTTTCAAGCGAAACGATCGCTCACTTAATAAATAAATAACAAAGTTTAAGTTTTATAAGCTCAAATGTTCGCCTTGCTCTGTAATGCGATGCACGTTCATCAAAATGAACAAATCTTTTTCCGAGTCGATTTGTTCGTTTCGTTCGTTGAATGAACCAAATGTTTAGGAAGTCCTAAATTTACTAGTCACTGACAATTTGTTTTAATTGTGTGATAAAAAATGAACAAAATCCTCTTACATAATATGTGTATAGTTCTGTTTCATGGCTTTGTTTAAATGTTGTGCTTTTTTGTAAAGGAACTTTTTCCATATATTTTTTGGCAGGTTAAATAAATACCACATCAGCTCTGGTGGTCCACAGAGGACAGGTGTGACAAACCATCAGTCTCTTCACCATGAGATTCAGGATGCTCAACCGGTAATACTCCATTAGTTGATTCACATCCAGAACACATACAGTACGTTAAATGATTACAGTTGATTGTCTGTTCACCCTCTTGGGCAACTTGAATTTATTATAACGTATCTCTTATACAACTAAAGTAAAAGCATTATTTTTTAAATATTTTAAATAACATACTGATTTCCATAGAAAACACAGATTCTGTTAGTGGCTGAGCTGTTTAAAAGACTGAGGAAACCCTTGTGGAAAAAAAGCGCACTTAAAAGGTGTATTGTAGGAATACATATACAAAATACATATGCATTTTTAAAACTACATGTACTTGCAGATATTATAATATTAATGAAATAAAAGGCAATGTAAAGAGAGAGTAGCCTACACTTGCATGAACACACTTATGTACACTTTTAAAAGAATACAATAGAAGTACTTATGAAAATTACAAATAAAGATGAACTTGAGTGGGCCAAACGTTTTCTAAAGTTCAGCTAATTGTATTTAATATAACTTTAAACTATGATAGCCTACAATTACTTTGCAATTTAGTGAAACATTACATTCAAGTATTCGTTTAAACTATTGTTTATCTAATAATTACTCTTTTTAAAAGTAGCCTATATTAAACTTTACTTCTTTTTCACAAAAGAAGGCTGCTATTATGGCAAGCCATTTTAGCTTTTATCCATTTCCAGGAAATTAATTTTTGATATCAAAATCAACCATTTAATTGTTGATGTCTGTAATTGTATTTTCACTAGTGAAATGTCCTCATAGCCTGCCATTCAAAATAAATTGTTAATATGAAGAATTGATTTTTTACTAGTAGAAATATCATTTTTGATATCAATAATTACATTGTTACTAGTAAAAATGCGAATTCCTGGTATCAATAATTATATCTATAATAATAATCACTAGTTTAAATGTCTATTCTTGATATCAACAATTCAATTGGTACCATATGTAAAAATGATCATTTTTCCTATCTGAAAATGTATTTCTGATATCATTATTATTTCAGATATCTAAAACGCTTTTCTTACTTGGAACAATCACATTCATGATATCAGAAATGAGCATTGCCACTAGTAAAAATAGAATTATTGATATCAAAAATGAACATTGTTACTAGTAGCAATTCAATTGTTGAAATCAAGAATAGACATTTCAACTAGTAACAATTTAATTCTTGATATCAAAAATAAAGTTTTTACTAGTAATAATTTTATTTCTGAAATGTGAAATAGGAATTTCAACTAGTAAGAAATCAATTCTTGATATCAACAATTGTTTTTGAATTATAGCCTATGATGACATTTCACTAGTGAAAATACAATTGTTGAGATCAAGAATTCATATCCTGGAAATGAATAAATGTTAAAATGGCTTGCCATGTTGCAATAGGTTTCAGACCTTTTTTATCATTACAATACGCTTGTCTCTCTATCGGCACATTACATATTTTTGCCAGTAGGTGGCGATATGTGTCTGCCTTTATGATCACACCCCTGTTATATAATCTGTTCAAAGGCACCAATCCATTGAGAAATGAAACAACTGAATTGATTCTGTTTTGTCTCAGCTTCGAACAGTTCTGGTTGGTGGCCCAAAAATAGACCAGAAATAGAAGGAACTTGGAATTTGTCTTTAAAATGTTAGATACTTGACTTATTGTGTATTGAATTGTTGTTTAAAAGCAATATAAGTGAAATGTGACGTGAAGGCCAAATATGGTAACCATACTCCGAATTTGTTCTCTGCATTTAACCCATCCAAGTTAGTGCACACACATAAGGAGTAGTGAACACACACTCATTCAAACTCGGGTCTGCCCACAATTGCTCCGATATATCACACCCATTATAGTGGTGTTGGTCTGATTACCTAGTCGGCCATATTGAACTTTCAAACAGAATCGTTTATGGTTGTTTCAATGCAGAATCTGTAATAAAAGCCATTTGGTTTTCAACAGTTTTACATTTCTTCTTCTACTCGTCCTTTAGTCCCAGAATGTGTCGATGGAGTCGATTTGCAGTTCTGTCAGCCAGATCTTACCCACCGTCCCCCAGAGAGGAGACATTCAGAATCCACGAAAGATCAAGCCTGTAGAGTTGTCCCATATCCTGCATGCACAACTCTCAGAGACCGTGAGAAACACACACACACAACACCAACATAATACTGCTGGGGTTTTCTCTCAAATTACTTAAATAATAACAGAGAATCAAAGTTATTGTACAGTTTATTAATATTTTTACTCAGTCACACCAGAATTTGGACTTTTTTTTATTTTGGGACTCGTTGGTCAAGTCAAGTCACCTTTATTTATATAGCACTTTATATAATGCAAGGCAAGTATTTATATAGCACATTTCATACACAGTGGCAATTAAAAAAGCTTTACATGGAAGAAATTAAAATAGTCAAAAGAAATCAGAATAATTAAAACAGTTTAGAATAAAAAAAATCATAATAATAAAAATAAAATACAGTAAATAATTAAAACTATTTAGAATCAAAAATAAAATGAAGAAGAGTAACAGTCGGACGGATCGAAATGAAATAAATTTTTTCACCAAAAAAGTACTTATTTTATTTCAGCCAGTTGCCAAGGAAACTTTTCTCATTTTTATTTAATTTAACTTAATGTATTAAAATAACTAAAACTGAAGCTGATAAAAAATATGAAATTTATAGCCATATAAAAAAAACAAAGAAATCAAATACTAATAAAACGACATACAACCAAATGACTAAAAAAAAGTAATAATATTAATAAAAACTACAATATTATCTCAAAGATACTAGAAAAACACCCTAAAAATTGTTCCAAACATGCAATACTTTTTCTTTGTATCATCTGCTCTTCAGGACAAAGTTGGCAACAGTGCGAGACTCTCTCTCCAGGACCAACAACAGCATGGAAGTTCTAGGCATCAGCTGGTGACACTGTAATGAATCATTTCCATAGTATTTTAACGTTCCTTTGCGTTGCACGACATTGATGATCATGTTGTCCATCATGCTTTCCAGTCTAAAAGAGCTGGAGCTTCTTGAAGCTCCCCTGGCAGCGCGAGGACAGCACAAGGCCAAGCGTCAGACACAGGAGGCTCACATAGCGGCTGCCATCACCTGGTGGAGGGGTCAGACTGCCCGAGATCCACACGCGCAGAAACAGATCCAAAGCCTGGAGGTCGATCGCACCAAAGCCCAGGTGGAAGAGACTAGGGAGCTTCTCAAAGACCAGGGAACCAGCACACAGGAAGACTCTCAGGTTCAGTTCAAAGATGTGGCTGTGATCACTGATTCATCAGTTGAAGAAGACCTGCTGAAGTCCCTGATAAAAGTGGAGGAGCTAATGGGCAGCGAGAAGAGGAGGAAAGAGAGGATAGAGGCCATCAGCATGAGGGTGGAGAGAGCGTTATGTAGAGCTGAAACCACTGAGAGGCAACTCAAGGCCCTGGAGGACACTGCCAACACAAAGGTGTGGACTGACAGAATTACTGAAACCAAATGCATTCACACTGCCAGGCAAAAGTTTAGAATAATTAAAGGGATACTTCACCTCTGGAAAGATGAATGTATTTAAAATGGGTCATTTACGTAGAAGAAATGTGAAATTAGTTTTGAGTTTGGAACTTTCTGGACTGAGAAAAGCCAGAAAATGTAGTTTTGGCTTATGTGGATGAAAGACAACAACTCCCAGAATGCACTTTCTTCACTGCCCTAGGAGGCCACACCTACCGGTAACAGAGCGCAGTAGTTAAACAACAAGTCTAGGCTACTAGTGAGTCTCCGCGATGAGTCTGCCCGAAAATGTGTTTCGAGATCGCCCAAAATGTCCGGGATTCGGCTTTTGCGTTCTACAGTCGCCATTCATCATGTTTACTGTGGCCGCGGGAGAACGGCGCGAGGCCGGTGGCATGATTACCGATGAGCGACACCTGTGAGACGCACCGGTCTCGTATCTCTCACGGAGGAGCGGGAACTTTCTTAGCAATGTTAAAACGCACATCATGTAACACTACATGTAGATTCACCAATCAGAATGAATTCAGTTAGATTGAAACAAAAGCGGTGCATGTAAACGATGAATGGCGACTGCAGAAAGCAAAAGCTGAATCCCGGACATTTTGTACGATCTTGACGGCTGGACATGTCCGGGAAAAAGAGGATGGTAACCCCGACTACTCAGCTTTCTCCACAGAACAAGAGCCTGCTAGCTTAGCTTCCAAAAAAAGATGGCCGAAACTGTGTGTTCATTCTGTGAGTTAGATCACGCCCTCTATGGCCTATGGCCTCTATAAGGATTTTTTACAGACAAAAAATACACAAAAATAAATGAATAAAGGATATGAGGTTTTTTAATTTTTTTGAAAAGGCTGCATTTATTTGATCGAAATTACAGTAAAAATTTAATTTGTGAAGGATCATGTGACACTGAAGACTGGAGTAATAATGCTGAAAATGCAGCTTTGCATCACAGGAATAAATTACATTATAAAATATATTCAAATAGAAAATAGTTATTTAAAATTGTAAAAATATTTCACAATATTCAAGTTTTTACTGTATTTTTGATCAAATAAATGCAGCCTTGGTGAGCAGAAGAGACTTTTGAATGGTATTTTATATTGAGTTTGTAATATAATTGATCTAACATGTTCTTTGTTTTGTTCTAGTCATTATGTATGTCTCAATCTGTGTCTACTGGCGTCCTGGATTGTAGCTCAGCTGACATCACATCCGTTTCCACACCGCAGGCTCTCTCTCAGACAAGCACCCTCACTCCATTCTCATCCACAAACGGTATTGACTACCTCTGAATATATCTTTGTCACACTTTGTATGTTGTCGTTCCAGTTGTGTGACCATTTCTAAAGGGGCTTTCGCACCAGAGGAACATAGTTCCTATAACTATTGGCAGAAGTACCCGCTTTTTGGTGTGTTCGCACCGAAGCAACTGGGAATTATTTTAGGATTTCAGACTTTAATTTTAGATTTTCACATGGCCAGTTATAGGGACTAGCCACCAGGGCTGTCCCCTGAGAACTAGGCCCATCTTTCTGGTCACTTACGTCCTGCCGCTCTTGTTGTTGTGCGGGACTTTTATTTTGACGGCACTAAGAACACCAGAGCCTGAGCACACAGCACTCCCATTCTCCGTCTTCATTAGTTTCTAATGTTTAACAGTCCTATGAATGCTGAATCCCTGCTGAATGAGTGAAATCATATCTTTTAAAACCTCTTTTACTTTTTTATGAGTAAAGCGTTGAATCTTTCACTCACACGAGTTCATTCATCCAGCCTCTGTATGTTGTTTAGAGTCTCAGAACTAGTCATTCTACTTTGCCTTTCTTTGGAAATATTTTTCCAAATAGGCAAGATTGTGTATAAAATTTAAGCTGCTCAATATCACATATTTTATTTAACAGCTGAATAAAAGCAGTATTCGATATTCGATTCATGATAAACACTCACTGGCAAACACAACGGAAGTGCTAAAATAACGAAAATGATAACGCAATCTTGTTATCCATTGTTTGGAAACATTGTTGTTAACTAAAAATAAAACTATTTAAAAATCACTGAAATAAAGGTGAAATAAAATATAATTATTCGATGAAATATTAAACTTAAATTAGAAATATTGCATCGGCAAGTCAGTCGATTTAAAAGGGATAGTTCACTTTGAAATAAATTTTTGGTATGTTTTAGCTTACCTCAAGGGCTTCCAAGATGTAGGTGTCTTTGTTTCCTCAGTAGTTTCAATTTTGATATTTTTAGGTCAAACCGTTCTTGTCTGTCAGTCTTATAATGGAGGTCTATGGTCACCACCTCAAAGAGCATGCACAGAGAAGTCCAAATTAAACCTAATTTAATGACTCGTAAATGTAAGTACACATTGATGGCCTAAGACTCGAAACGAGCAGTTTGTGTGAGAAAACGAACAATATTTATATACAGTAGTTTTACCTCTTGTAACCACAGCCACGTCCAAGTGATCTGAGGGCGCGGGCACTTTGTGACTGTGATTACAAGAGATAAAAACAATATATATACTGTTCGTTTTCGTGTCTTAGGCCATCAATGTGTACTTACATTTACGAGTCATTAAATCATGTTTAATTTGGACTTCTCTGTGCATGCTCTTTGAGGTGGTGACCATAGACCTCCATTATAAGACTGACAGACAAGAACGGTTTGGCCTAAAAATATCAAAATTGAAAATACTGCGGAAACAAAGACACCTACATCTTGGATGCCCTTGAGGTAAGCTAAAACTTACTAAAAAATAATTTTAAACAAACTAAAGGTGATGAGCACATAAAATTATTAAAATTATTCATATATTCATTTTTTTTATAACAGAAAGTATTCTTACAAAGAAATGACACCATCATCACCTCATCAAGTACTTTATGAATAATCAATCCCATGTTTTCCTCATAAAATGTTTACAGACAAATAAAAGGTGTTTACAGCACTTCCAAAATGAGAGAGGGTGTCTAAAAAAAGAGAAGAACAAGCAACACAACAGATCAACTAAAAAAAAAATCATAATCCACCATCAGCCCTACACTGTACACTACGGCATCTGCTTTTTCAACACAACTGAATGAGTTTTTTTATGTGCGGCATGTGTGTGTGTGTGTGTGTGTTCTCTCACGGTGTAAACCTCCTTCCTGCTGTGTCTGTAGGGATCTCTGTGGCTCTGGCCCAAGTGCAGATGCAGTTTAGAGTTGAGTTCACACATGCGATATGAGCCCTTAATCGCGTTTAATCATTCGATACGTTTGTGGAATAGCAAGTCGCTGTGCTTGTTTGCTCACTAAACAAAAGCAGATGTCTGTTTAAGTGTGTGTATATCTGATACAAACACTGTTTTCACAAGCCTTTTCCCTCTGCTTTTTTGCGGATGACGAAAAGTGTTGCATTTGATTATCAAATGAGCAGTCCAAAGTGAAGTGAAATGTGCCTGCTATAATATATAATACGGCTGACCGTCTCGCATATGCTTTGTGTTTTATGGCTGATGTCTATAACTGTTTCATGGAGATAACATTGTGTGCAAGTGTGTTTCCAAAAACAATCACACTCTCTCAGCAAAAGAGCACATTTACATAAAATCTTCTGCCTACATTTTTTTTTTTGATAAATATAAGTTTAAAAGCAAGAGTTATTGTAAACAGAGGTTCGACATTAAAGATATCGATATATACACTACCGTTCTAAGTTTTGGGGTTGGGTGGTCTCTTCTGCAGTTGTTTGATCAAAAAATACAGTAAAAAGAATAATATTGTGAATTTTCTTTACAATTTAAATAGGGATGCACGATATATCGGCCACATTATCGGTATAGGCCGATATATCATCATTTTTAATGTTATCATTATCGGCCCAACAAGAACGTTTAGCCGATATCTAAAAGCTGATAAATAATGTATTATTTCCTTCAGCTGAGGCACTTTAGATGCGCACTGTTCAACATGATGCTTTTAAATTGCTTGAAATACGATTGAAATCACTTTTAAAAAGGAAAATCCAGTTAAATTGTAAAATGTGCAGCGCATGTCTGTCATATCGGCTACAAAACATTAAAATAAGAACATCATAATTGTGTTTGTATCTTGGCTTTTAATGAGTAGACTTTTTTATAATCAGGCTCTCAAAAATTCTCTAAAAATTTGGATTTAGATTTATCTGCCAATATATCGGTTATCGGCTTTCAAATATAAAGAATTATCGGTTATCGGTATCGGGCAAAATTGTCATATCGGTGCATCCCTAAATTTAAACGGTTTTCTATTGTAACATATTTTAAAATGTAATTTATTCCTATGATGCAAAGCTGAAGAATTTTTCAGAATCACTCCAGTCTTCAGTCAGAAATCAAGAAACATTTCATATAATTAAATAAATGTTGAAAACAGTGCTTTTTAATATATTTTTGAAAACCGTAATACTTTTTTTGGTAACTCTTTACTTGAAGGGGTGTGCATAAGACTGACATGACACCTTTATAATCATGACATGACATATGTCTTGAATATGAAGTAGGGTTTATGCATGTTTATGACAAATGTCATTAAGTGTCTTCCGCTCAATAATGACATTTTGAATGCAAATATGACATTGTTTAACCCTCAATCGGGTCATGGGGTCTATACGACCCCAATCGACTTTTACTTAATAAAAAAAAGGTTCCCTTCATCTCAGATTTTGTGACTTTTTATACATTATCTATCCATACACACACAAACAAACTGGGCTTGATTCAGTTGTTCTGAAGGTATGTAATAAAAAAAGTTTACTCTTCTGGTTTTCGGGGTCAATAGGACCCCACATTGAAATGAATGGAAAATGTGAAGAAAAAAAAAGTGTGTCACTACTATGTGTCACTACTATGTGCAATATATCATAAAAAAAAAAAATGTCATATGCAAGATAATGCTGTAGTTGAGGAATTATGTGGTATATGGATACAAAAGTACTTTATATCTCCAAAAACACAGTATTAATGAATAGATGAGAAGTAAACAAACCAAAAAAAAAATATATTATTTGTATATATTTTTTGTACAATTACTCAATCAATTGTTGCAGTCGTATAGACCCCGAAGCCCAGAAGGTTAAGATGTCTTTGTTATGACATCTTGAAATAAACCAATACATCATAACCTGTCAGTGTCTTTGTCATGACAACTTGACATTAAATGAAGTTAAACTGTCATGTGGTTGGCTTATAACTATTATAACTGTCATGAATATTTTTCGTGACCTCAACTACAGTGGTACTAATTGAATTTGTCATTAAAAAGTTATAATGTAATGTTAATGTAATGTTAACCAATAAAGCTAGGTGGTTTCTTAAGTTTGATAATTAATCTGCTATGTCATGTTTATGCCTTGAGTTGTGTTGTCTTAGTAATGTCAAGTTGTAATCTCAAACAATGTCATATTTGCATTAAAAATGTAACATGACATGCATAAATCTTCCTTCATTATCATAACATGTCATGTCATGATTATGAAGGTGTCATGTTAGTCTTATACACACCCCTTCAAGTAAAGTGTTACCAATTTGTTCTGTATTCTTTAGTGAAGATTCATAAGAACAGCATTTATTTGTAATAAAAAATGTTTTGTAACAATATAAAGGTTTTTACTGTCATTTTAATGCATTGAGCTGTAACTTTTGAACTGTAGTCCCCTCAGACCAACCCATACATGGATTTACAGAAAACTGACGTTTTGACATTATAAACCTGTGTGATTAGAAATGTTTCTAGATCAGTCATTTTGTACTCTATGCAAGAAAATAATACAGGTGTGGAACAATATGAGGGTAAGTAATAGAGCCAGACCGATATATCGGCAGGCCGATATTATCGGCCGATATTAGGCATTTTCCAAAATATCGGTATCGGCAGTTATAATGGCCGATAAATGAATATTTCAAAAATAAAATAAAAACAGATGAAAACACGCTTGAACCATGTCATGAGTGTTGGAGTTGTATAATTTGTCCACCAGAGGGCACTCTACACCGTCCCTGTTGGCAACACTCGTTGAGTTGGTCACGATACATACATTGCTTGAATAACAATTAAAAAGAACATCCCCATCAGTTCTCTTAACTCAAATAAGCATGACAAAATTTGTGACTATCATGTCCAGTTTTGCCGCAGTTCAATAAGCTGAGAGTGAAGCGGAATTAGCTAGTAATAATTACGTTACGTTGTTACAGTGTAGTTGACTGACTGACGTGACGGTTATAGCAATGAGACGTATCATCTCTCCTTGGC